CACGTGGTATTTTGTGGAAGAGCCACACTCAAGGGGCCAAAGAGCCGCATGTGGCTCGCGAGCCGCAGTTTGCCGACCACGGGCCTAGGGTAAGGAGCAGCAAGCAGGGAGCCAGGGCTCCTGGACTGCGAGAGGGATGTCTGACTGCTGACTTAGGCCTGGAGAGCAGGGCTAATCAAGCAGACATCCCCTCAGGTGTCCAGGACTGTGAGAGGGCGCAGGCCGGGCTGAGGCCCCACACCCCCCTAGTGCATGAATTTTCGTGTACCGGGCCTCTAGTAAGTATATATGGATATTAAAGCTATATATGCTAAATAAGTTTAAATACATTAAACATACATGCTTGCTTCTTGCCAATAGTATAACAAAAGGAAATATTTTAGAAGCTTTTATGAAACAGTATTAAAATCTTATTTTTACTTATTACTTTTAATTATTCACATCTTCATTTATATCTTTTATAGAAAAAAATTCACACAAACATGATCCAAAAGAAAACATCAATGATGCCATATTATACTTATGTAAGTTTCACCGAGTTATTTACAAAGAAGTAACTCTGACAACTCCCATTTAGCCCTTAAAACGTTAATATCACCCTGGCCAGTTTTGCTCCTGAATAGAGCATCAGTCCACAGAATGAAGGGTCCAGGGTTCCATTCTGGTCAAGGGCACATATCTGGTTTACAGGTTCAATCCCTGGCCCTGGTCGGGCAGCACGCGGGAGGCAACCTATGGATGTGTCTCTTTCACATCCTAGTCGGCAAATTCATTAGTCAACAGAGCCAAATATCAACAGTACTTCTTCAAAATAGACTCGCCCAGGCCGAAAACAACTTCTGCGCATGGGCCACGGAGTTTCAATCGCACTGTACACGCGCCCACACGTGGTATTTTGTGGAAGAGCCACACTCAAGGGGCCAAAGAGCCGCATGTGGCTCGCGAGCCGCAGTTTGCCGACCACGGGCCTAGGGTAAGGAGCAGCAAGCAGGGAGCCAGGGCTCCTGGACTGCGAGAGGGATGTCTGACTGCTGACTTAGGCCTGGAGAGCAGGGCTAATCAAGCAGACATCCCCTCAGGTGTCCAGGACTGTGAGAGGGCGCAGGCCGGGCTGAGGCCCCACACCCCCCTAGTGCATGAATTTTCGTGTACCGGGCCTCTAGTAAGTATATATGGATATTAAAGCTATATATGCTAAATAAGTTTAAATACATTAAACATACATGCTTGCTTCTTGCCAATAGTATAACAAAAGGAAATATTTTAGAAGCTTTTATGAAACAGTATTAAAATCTTATTTTTACTTATTACTTTTAATTATTCACATCTTCATTTATATCTTTTATAGAAAAAAATTCACACAAACATGATCCAAAAGAAAACATCAATGATACCATATTATACTTATGTAAGTTTCACCGAGTTATTTACAAAGAAGTAACTCTGACAACTCCCATTTAGCCCTTAAAACGTTAATATCACCCTGGCCAGTTTTGCTCCTGAATAGAGCATCAGTCCACAGAATGAAGGGTCCAGGGTTCCATTCTGGTCAAGGGCACATATCTGGTTTACAGGTTCAATCCCTGGCCCTGGTCGGGCAGCACGCGGGAGGCAACCAATGGATGTGTCTCTTTCACATCCATGTTTCTTTCTTTCTCTCTCTCTCTCTCTCTCTCTCTCTCTCTTCCTCCCTCCATCCCTCTCCCTCCTCTCCTCCTCCCCGTTCTCCCTCTCCCTTCCACTCTCTAAAATTCCTAAACTGCAGGGACCACGCCTTATTTCTTTGTAGAAGCTC